CGATGACATTTTTGTACAGGATTTTAGTGTCAGTGGTTGAGGGTATAGTTACAAGGGGACGAAGAAAGTGTGAGCTGGCTGAATTCAAGTTGTTGCGAATGCACCAATCTGAACTTACTCCGCCGTATAAATTGAAGTATCGCTCGGTTTAGACACTACAACTTGAATTCAGCCAGCTCACACTTTCTTCGTCCCCTTGTAACTATACCCTCAACCACTGACACTAAAATCCTGTACAAAAATGTCATCGTTGCTTATCGACAAAATTATGAAACACAAACAGATTTAACTCGTTTCGGAACGGCTAAATTCGACTAAGCTTAATGTTCTGTCCAAAGCTCAGTTAGAACCCTTGGACGTTATCTCAAACATACACGATTATGATGTTCATTGATTCCATACTGCGAACCAGTTGACGGCAATTTCTAGAAGGGTTTTTTAATCAAATACGATGAAATGCAACTAATCTCTTGAGCTGCTTTAGTAGCCAGCAGGCGGTTCATCTCACGCAACCCATTAAACAAGTCAGCAAATATAAAATGGAAGAACTTGAACATGTGTCTGTAATGCGTAATACACATATCTAGCAAGTGGTGCATTGTAAGTCCGCTAGAAGGAGGAGCATTCCAAACGGCGTTCGACCTTTTGCGATTTACTAGCTTTTTTAAAAACCTGGATATAATATTAGTTATGAAACACATACGCAAAACTCTCGAGTGAGTCAGCTTGTAGAAGTTACATGCTTGCATGCCAGATACATCACACGTTGACAAATAAACAGGATCTGCAAATATCCCCAGAATTGCTGAGCGACTGTCAAAGGGAACCTTTTCTGAATGAGATCAATCCAAATTAACTAGCGTACTCCATGTAATCGCGACCGGTATCCTCTTCAAAGTAGTTAGTAGGAAGCTCTCAGTTCGTCTTCATTACAGTCAGGGTCTACATTTGGATGCTGTATGTTCTGAGTAGACTTATGCGCCCCTTGCAGCCTCAATGTCCGCTACTACTTGAGCGCAACTATCAAGTTTACTTCTGTACATACATGTAGTCTATATAATATATGGACTTGAGTACGGACACGCCGGTTTGAATGCAACTCAATCCCCTTTAACGAATGTTAGGGTCTCATACTGCCACATCTACAAAGTATATACAAGACGGAACGTCCATTGTAATTGACCAAAAAAGGTTTGCAAACACATTGGACTGAGGTTGGGTATAGTGGAAAATGATACTGATTTTAATTAAAAGATAAGTCTAACAAAAAAATGAATGAACAAATCATTTTCACACCTCAAAAACAAATCCTTATATTGCTGATAAGTAGTTTGGAAGTACTGATAATTTAGAAGAGATTCATTTGCAAAAAAGCTGGACTTCTACCAAACTACTTATCAGTAATTCGGTGTCAGTGTTCATCGGTGGCGGTGGCGGATTGCAGCGTGAACTGATCGAGAAATCCTGCTTGAACAGTGAGTCGGCTGAATCATTCGGTGGATTCCATAGGACACAGTTAGTCGGATGGGTAACTAGATACAAATGTGAAATTTCTGAGCTTCCGACGTGGTTTCGCAGCTCAGTTGGTAGAGCGCTTGCCGCGTTTCGGCATGTTGTTTCCGTCGCTGGTCCGAATCCAGCCGAAGTCCAGATTTTTCGCGAATGGATCTCTTCTAAAAAATCCTTGTATGATCATATTACTTTGTTCTACACAGCCCTGTCAACTTTTCAACCAAAAAAATATCTTCCACAGTACAACAGTAAACCTGAAATCACTTATCAGCTTTCATACCTTGTGGATACGGTCAGTTCCATTACAGGCTAATTGGGTACATCCTCGATATTCCATCAAGAAGAATGTTTAGTGGTGTATAATTAACAATGTGATGTCAGTTGCTAAACAGTTGGCGTTCTAATATGGCGATAATATCGATTTGCCAAGCCGAACTAAGTCAGCGTTGCCCCTCTAGTGATCATCAGCCGTTCGGCACAGAAGAGACTAGCGCAATTAGTCTCGTTAGCATCGAAATGGTTTCCATTATACAAGTGTGATGAACGAAAAGTTTCTCCACGCTTGTTCATCATTTGCAGCAATGTAGCTGAGCTGGACGAAATTAGCAATAACAGCATGTAAATAAAAATTCGGCATCTCTCAAGAGGTGCACGCCCAATAGTTTTGTAAAAAAATTAAAAAGAATAAAAACTCTTAAGAAAAACGCCCATTTGTGACCAATATATTTACTCATGCATTTGACTGTCATACTTTCTTATTTTTCAATTATATACTTTACTTACTCATCCTCTACTGAGATGTTCAAAATATCACTGTAAGGCAAGCCGAACACCCGAAATTTTCATCATCTACCAAAACCAGTTTCAAAAGACCTGCTCAGGAGCCATTCTGCTGAGGAGGTCCATGTTCATATTTATTGAATTTAATTTTCAAGTAAAGCGTTACAGTTTTGGTTAACGGTAGATAAAACATATGGTTTACATTGATTTTTTGAACTTATTGGAATGTTTTGATATCAGCACCGTTCTCATGATCATTTATGTTAAACTTCCTGTCTGTAACAGATCCACCGTTCTATTCCACATGTTACCAATTAGCAAAGCAACGGAACAACAGGACAGTGAAACACAGATGCCTATAACTTCTGTAATGAATAGTGCGTCTAATAACACGGCATATCTCACTGAACATATCTGACCTGTCATATGTTACATAGTCTATTGGATGTGATGAAATATCCAGAATTCATTCTGCTCTAATACTTACATTTTAGTTCATCACTGACGGTTAATTTTTCACGTTGTTTCCTTAAAATGGCTAGTCAACAGCAGTTTTATTTTGCGGTTCGAATCATTTAAACAATACTTGTGAATTGAAACTTTCTTAGTTGTTCCTCTCATTTTGCAGACTCCCTGACTGAACATGTGAGTAAATCTTTAGACGGGCTGATCAACTTTACTGATGTCGTCTTTAGTTACACGCAATTATTTTTCAACCAGGCCAAACCAGATCAGGACTGCACTGTTCCTTTGCTCTAACTGTTAACACACAGTGTATAAAAAGTTGGATCACTTCGACTTATCCCCTTTTTGTGAACCTCCGTTTTCAGAAACACCTCGGGACTTTTACGGTGAACGGATTCCGACGTGAATATTTGGTTTCAGAATGAATTTTCCGAAAATAATTGCACCTGATCGTTCTAGATTACCTGTAACCATTGTTAGTTGTACACTGTTCGTGTTTCATGATAACCTACTCCGGCGATGATCATTTTTGACTGCCCTAAAAACTGCTGTTAATTCGATCTGTACCGAGCCGCGGTGAACCGTTGACAAACATGTGAAGCCTACTTCATGCCTGGTGAAATGCACTCATTTTCTGTACTATTGCCGCTTAACAGTGTTAATATCAGATACTGGACATTTGTTCATAACGATATGAACAAACATGACTAGAAGCCTCGTAATGCGAAACTTCATAGATTTTTTTGTCCTCGTTGGTTTCAAGTATGAACCAATCATTTGCCTTTAGTCTGCATGATTCATCAGACCGACGATGGCCTCCGTGGATTGGAGTGTCCATCTAAAGAGGAATGTGGTGATACGTCTCTGTTCTATAAAATTATTAGTGGTTGCGATGGCGTTTGATAAAAAAGGACAAAATATTTCCTCAAAAAGAACAACTCTCGTGCTCGATCACTACATACAGCCGATTTGTTGATTCACCAAATGACCGGTCCCGGCGGTATGTTTTGCTGTAGAGAACGTCAAGTCTTTCTTTTCGTCTGGCTTAGCTTCAGGTTTTGTATCACTGTTATCAACAAACACTGCGTACATTTTTTTCACGTAGACATCCGTCAGTATTTTATGAAGATCTTTCAAACCACTCGTCTGTTTGATTTGTTGATAGCGTTCTGAAACCACTTAAGAATTTTGACGGTTTCGGCACCAACTCAATGTTTTTTAAAAAAACTTAAATTTCCTGTATGATGCAGAAAGCAGATCCTTCAACTTATCATGCCAGATTTTAGTTCGAACTTGTCTTTGCGGCCTGTCACTTAAATTAGGAGATTTTTGAGGTTAGACTAAATAACATTTAGTTAATCAAAGCTTTATTGGCCAATTATCCGATGGGCAGTGCGTTGACAGTAAAATGTTCATTGGGAGCCTGAACAAATTAGACAGTTGCGGTAATCATCTTACAATAGGCTTGGCACCAATCACTTTCAACTAACGGATGAGTCCCTCTTATGGAAAATTAGAACTAAGAGATTAAGTAATCCGGCAAAGCTTTACTTACTATCCATAACTTTGTTTAATCCTTCAAATGAAAGACCATAAATTTCGCGGTGAATCCAATTGTGGCAAGAGTGGTTAGGAAACACTTAAGTTAGAAGAGAATAAAATAATTAGGTAAAGTTGGTAAATCGGATTATTTTTACGCATAACTGTTTCTGAGCTTGAGTCCAGTCTACATTCATTGATAACACTTATAATCAACAGGTTGTAAGTCAGACATATCCTCTACACTTGACAATAAACCAAGAGGTTATGATGCCAGTGAGCTGCCAAGATTTCACGTAAACTCAAACGTCTGCCAACTTCGACTGATCACTTAAAGCTGATCAAAATGTTTGCCATATACAAACCGTCAACTTGACGTAACAGACAATACTACAAAAATTGGAGGTTGAATGTTCATATATTTTCCAAATTTCACTAGCTGTTTGTCTGTTGAAATCAGAACAGAAGTTGCGCCTCCCTAACTGTACCGAATTTGATCAGTCTTTGTTTGGTGGTAGCTGTTCCCTTTAAAAGGTTCAGGTGACACGGATGTACATGTTGACAAACATCGAAGTTAATTTACCTCCCAAAGAATAACAGCACGTCAGTTTGACATGAAACTCAGCTTACTATACCTCTTGAGTCATGTCCGCTCCTTCAGTATCAAGAAACGCGCTGTCAAATCTAAGATGAAGTGTGTTCCGTTGTTCTACATGAACGGTAAACTGAGGTGATAGGCTCTCAGATAGCTTGGCGTTTCTGGATTTCAAATGTTTCAACGCATCTGCAATTCGAAGTGAGATAACCGGCAGTTGCCTTAAGAGACAATACGAAGGATGAGAAAACCCTGACTAATGTTGATTGGGCGCAAGTGGCTGATAGCTAACTTAAATCACGAGAAAATCAGAAAACTGCAAGGATTTTTCACTTTTCACATCGTCGGTAGCTGTGAGTAGTGATAACCATTAATTTACAAAAGACACTCCAAGTTGTAATTCATCTACGTTTCGGTGTCGTACGTATTGTTTGTAGCGTAACAGCGGTAATTTAACCAATCCGTGTACCTCGATGATTGTTTGCCGACAGTCGACCATTGAACTGTGAGTCGCCCAGCTTAACGAAACCATAACGATGCTTGTTTGGCTAGCAGACGCGCCTAATAAGATAAGTTAACCCTTAAATGTACACCTAACAGACGGCTTCCTGCCTCCAGCAGTTTTATGTAGACACATTGATCTGTTTGACATGCAACAACGGATTTGATAGTTGAAGCAACCCAGCGGATTCATCATCATCATCATCATCATCATCATAGACAGCAATACATCAATAGATCACACTGGTGCTTAACTGCCGCACAACCACGAAAAAGAAGAAGCAAACCCTGTATAGGAAGAGACAGAATAAAAGAGGAAGAGAAAGGGACCTAACAATTAAAACTAGCTACGTCTGTATTCAAACGCAACACCAAGGTGCCTACACCTTGCAAACAAACAACCGAGCTGTGAATGAAAACAAGGCGTCATCAGCAAGGCAGCTTTCTTACGGCTTTCACTGCCCCGCGTGTTTAATTGCACTCACTTTACAGACAACTCGGACAAACAACGAAAACCTTCACGCCACTGAGCTCGGTCAACCGCCATCCCATCGACTCTGTGTGTCGCGAGGGCTCCAGCCTGGGAGACGAACCCGATCTACAGTGGCCAACCCCTTCGTGGAGGATTTCACTTATCTACATCAGGTCATCATCTGTCCACCTCGCACCTTACGCCAATCGGCCGCAGCATCGACAAAGAGTGCTCGGTGTGGCACATGATTAGCTGACATCTTTAGTACATGACCTAACCACCCAAGTTTGTGCAAGTGGAAGGACTGAACGAAAGAACTCTTTTGACAATCAAGGCCAAACACTGGCTTCCGAACCCCCTCGTTGCTCACTCGTTGGTGCCACACGATACGAGCGATTGAACGCAAAATTCGATGGTCACACACTTGAAGACGGTTCATGTCTTCTCCCCTGAGCGGCCAGGTTTCGTTGCCGTAAAGTAATACGGCCCTCACCGTTGTCTGATATACGCGACCTATATGCATCAGAGAGATACTTTTCCGTCGCCATAAGTGCTCTAGATTAATAAACACCGCCCTAGCCTTAGAAATACGCGCCTCTATTTCACTACCTACACCTCCGCCGCCGCCTCTGATGCAGCTTTTCCGGTACACAAACCGGGCAACAACCTCCATGACTTCATTATCTAACATTAAACCTACGTAATCTCAGCAATCTGGCAGATGTACTTTGCAT